CTGATTCCCTATTCTGACTAGAATTCTGATGGAAACAAATCTTTGGAAGTACTTTAAAACCCTTGGGCCTTCCCTAAAGAAAAGAGTACACATTGGGAAGGAGAAAAACACATATTAGAGAGAATTTGGAGCTATAATAACAAAGAAAAATACAAAAATTGACAGGATTTCACGCACTTAATTAACCAGATGATGTTATTTCTGCAAGTTATTATATATTTGTAGTGTTCTAAAAGGATTAATGCGTGGCGATGCGTTGATGTCAAGCTAAGGACAATGCGATATTAGGCGAGGCAAATGCGTAAAAAAGTGTTTTCTAATTTTAATATTATTTAAAATTTTTAATCAATAAAAAAATTATTTAATAATTATAAGTTTTAACTTAAAAGAATTGTAAAAAGAAAAAAAAAACCTAATAATGTGCGCCTAGGAGTGCATTGGCGCCTTAGCCTCGCCTCGCGCTGATGCGCTAATTGGCGCGCTATTTAAAACAATGGTATTTTGTAAGTTTCTCCATGTCAGACTAGAAATTCTTATACTAGGGCTATGTTTGGTACCCATTTTTATCAAAATGCATTTTTCTCTCTCTTCTTTTCAACCACACATTCTTTATTAAAATAATATTACACGTAAATCAAAAAAATTTTCTTATTTTTCAACCACACATTTCCCATCAATTTACTATTCAAAAATACATTTTCACATAAAAATTCCTACCAAACACCCTCTAGGAGATTGGTGAACCTTGTAATATGATTTTTTTAATTCATTTTTCTATATTTTTGATATTAAAACTCGTATTGAATATTTTGAATGATTTATATATTTAAGTTCTTCCATAATTATTGGGCCCGTAATTGTGTGGGTTTGGTGATCTATTTCTTGTATTCGAAAGAAGTGGAATTAGTTCGACAACGTATAAATCGTTAATTACATCAAACTTGTGTTCCAAATATTCAATTTGCATTTTCAGTTCATACAAGCGTCAATTTGCATATTAATTCATTCAAGTCATACACATTTGCATATCTAATTTAGGTTAATCATTTTTGACAATCTTGTTTCGGTTAAAGCCAAGATAAATAAAATTAGACTACTCAATCTCTGTGAGACGATATTTGGAACTCTAAATTTCACTTTATTACTTATTACAAACCGTACACTTGCGGGTTTAGATTGAAATATTATTTTTCATGATCACACTTCACCATTTTTTGATATTTTTTTCCACCAAAGAAGGCAATGTATTGTAATTTGTTGTCAGGGATTTTGTAGAGCTTCCATGCATTTCGGGGACCAAATGTTTTTGCGTTTTACTGGCAATATAATCACCATTCATTTATATATATAATTTGTATGGACAATTTAACAATGGGTAAACAATTTTACCCTTGATTTATTTTTATTTTTATTTTTATTTTTTTCTTATTTTTCAATTCATTTGAGTGCAAGACACGCAGAATTTATGGCAATTAGACACGTTGGGGTTAAAATTAAATGACTTTTGAGCACAAGATGGATATATAGCAAAGGAAGTTATTGCCAAGAAATTATGACGATCACTTATATATCTTCGTTAGAGATTATTGACGACAATATCATTTGTAACATCAAGAAGCATCCACAATGTTTCGATCGCGAGCATAAGTTGTCTATATCACCAAATGAACTTTTATTCCTTTTACATATTTTTTTATAAGTTAAAATGTCATTTTAACTTATAATTTTTAATATTACAAGGATTAATTTTTAAATTTCTATACTATATTTATTTACAAAATTTTTAATAATTTTTTTAGCATTCTTTTTGTTTCATTTGGCTTTTAATTAGTACTTTTATCTACAATTGAATGAAAGAGGAAGTAGAATTTAAAAAAAAAAAAAAATTAGTCAATTAATCTTAAGTTTGTTAAACCTAAAATTTTATCTTCACATGTGGATATGGAGATACATTGTGTTCATACACAATTTCTGCTGAGCTCTGTCCATAGCACATTTTGTGTATCTTGATAGCCGTTACGATTATTGTCAATGTAGTAATGGAGAAGATGAATATGAAGGGAAGGAATTTTTATTTTTATTTTTATTTTTTACTTTTTTACTTTTATTAACTTTGGCTTTTTTTTTTTTTTTTTTTAATTTCTACTTCTGATATCTATATTTACAAGTTGTATAAATCGCTCTTATTTGAAGTTTTCATTGAGGTGGGGTGAAATATCAGGAGTTTATATCTTATTGGAAAAAAAGAGAGTTAGATTATTACTTTGTATTTCCATCAATATTGACATGTTCAATTTTTTTATATGTTTGAACTTTTAAATGAGTCTTGTCCTAGCATTATTAACAAATAACATTACTCTTCTTTTATCTTCCGTCCTTATTTGGTTCAGTTAAACATTATATTTTTAATAGATTTTGATAAAAGTTAATGAAATATGTATTTGAAAAGTTGATAAAAATTGTTGATCTTACGAAATGTGTTATTAAAAATGAAATTGAGAAAAAAATATTAAATGGTAATCAAATAAAGGCTTGATAAAATTTACTTGGTATAGAATAAATTCTTTAAAACAAAGAGCGTCTTACCATATGTTTGAAGTATCTTTTAAATAATTTCGCCTTCATTCACTATCAAGTATATGTTTTCCTAACGCATGTGTTTCGTTTTTAAAGTGTCTTTTGGAGAGAATAATAATATTATCTAATAAAAGTAATACTATAACATAAGTTTAAGTGACATTATGTGATAAATTTAATTAAATATAGAATAATATGACTCATTCAATAGTACATCACATTTAATGTCACTTAACCCATATTTGGTGGGAATTAGAATAATTTTTAGTGGATTTTGATAAAATATGAAATGTGTGGTTGGAAAACTGTGAGTCTCATAAAATGTGTGTTAAAAATAAATTTTTGATTTTGACTTAAAATAAAATCTAGATTTTAATTTCTACCAAATAGGGTTTAGTGTCATCTAAATTGTTGTTATATCAACGGTACTGAAAAGTGTTATTCTTTTGAAAAAAAACTTAGAACTTATATTATCTCTTTTTTTGTCTAGACATTGGACGAGAAAAAGCACTTATAATTTATATTATGCTAAATAATACACGTTTATACAAATAATTGTTGACATAAGTGGTGTTGTAATAAGTTTGGACATTTTAATTGAAATCAAATCTTTCAAGCCAAAATCGATACCAAAAATGTAAATTAGGAAGTGGATAACCGATTAGATCCAATTCAATTCTTGATTCCTAAACCAGAATCGTGTGTATCTGAGTGGAACTGTTTTTCAGAAAATACAATTTATAGTTGGATAAATAAATATAAAACCTAAAAATCCTAATTATAGTGATAATTAGTTTTAAAATGTAGACTCTAATCATAAGAAATCAAAACTGGCTCCTACTTTTTTACATATCTCCTCATATTATATTGTTGCATCTACCTGCCACTTTTCTCATGCAATTTGCAATACTTGAATGATCGATTCCTTTTTTTTCTTTTTTGGTCCGAAGTTTTGACATGTTAATGTTTCCAATTTGAACTTTTTTATGAATAAAAAAGTTCAAGCTATGTTATGCTGTAAGTTGATAAATAAAAGCACTCATTTTCTGCAATTAAAGTTTTTTATTTTCTTGCATTGTTTAAAAACTTAAGAGACTTTTAATTTTTTAAAATACATGGGGATTGAACTTAATTTATTCATTGATTGGGCTGTGATATACATTTTTGTTATCTTAAATTCGTGATTCTCTTTTTAAATATAATTTTATTCTTTTTTTTTAATTATTCAAATAGAGCGAGTTCAATGTAGACTGTAATTTCTTGATACTATATAGTGATGTAACTAATTAGTATTTATTATGTCGGTTCGTTTTAAGAATAGAAGAATTTAGACATTGTTCATAATTAAATTATATACTTTACTATGCCTCGCTTATGAGCTAAATAAGATTTATTAAGAAAAGATAATTTATTCTAAAATTATAATTTAATTTTTAATTTTTGAATTTTCTCCTATTCTCGTTGTTTTTAGTACCATTAATGCTTCTCGAAGATTTCCTAGTTGAATTTTGTACTATTACACAAATATTTTTGAGTAGTAGCGTGTTGGATATATGTACTGAAATGACATATATGAAAATGTTTATTAAGTCACTATTTGGTGAAAATTAAAATTAAAATTTCAATTTTAATTTAAGTCAAAGTCAATAATTAATTTTAAACATATTTTCATAGGACTCACAACTTTCAATCACTTGCTTCATCAACTTTTATTAAAATCTATTAAAAATTTAATTTTAATCCCTACCAAAAAGGGCTAAATATATTTATAAAAATGTTATGGATAAAATCAAAATCGAATTAGAATTGAGTTTGGTTCCACTATTTTACAAGGACTCGAATAATTCAATTTACGAAATACTCGAAAAATAGTGGGTGATTTCAGATATTGAAATACTCGAACCAACCACTTGATGCTTAGACATATGTTGTAATATCGTCTACATATATTAATTTAATTTCTATATATATGTTTTAGGTTTCAGATGTAATATAATAATTTTATTATTATGACTTGAATGTAAAAAATGTCATATCATAAAATGTTTTAAAGCACTAGCAATTTGAAAGAGTAATATTATTTAGCTTCATTGAAATTATAACCAAATTTATGTGACAATAATGCAACATTATATGATAAGTGGAAAGATTATTATATTTGTATATCAAATGTTACTCAAGGGTTATATAATATATAAGTGGCATTACGTAATTGATTGGTGAAAATTTAAAAATAAGTCATTTAATTTTACATTTCATTTAATTTATCACTTAACATCATATACACTGGGATTATAATTCAGGTGGGGGCTAAATGGTAATATTTAATTTGAAAACGGCCGTATAATTATTTTGTCTCGAAAAGTTAAATATAAAGGTCAAAATGTAGAATTGCGTTCGTAAAATAAGATTTAAATAAATAAGTAACAACTAACAACCAATTAGCTACTGCCAGCAGAAACCACGTACCAGCTGACGTTGATCGGATGATGATTTTTTGGACGTAGGTATTTGTATACATAAAACAAAATCCCCCATCAATCCAGAATTTGCAATCGTTCTTTCTCCGATCATGGTAATTTTTTTTTTTAACTTAGTTTTAGCTTTAATTTTGGGTTAATGGAATTTGACATTTTGTAATTATATTTAGGCAAGTGGAACTGGTGAGGTTTCAAAGAAGCTGAAGCTCTATTCCTATTGGCGGAGCTCTTGTGCTTGCCGCGTTCGAATCGCTCTCAAATTAAAAGGTCTCGATTTTTTTTTTCATTAATTTGAATTCTCGATTTGTTTTTGCTTAATTTATTTAATTATTTTATTAATTTTTTTTTATGATTAATGAAATAAATACAACCTGAAATTGAATAAACAGGGCTAGATTATGAGTATATCGCAATTAACTTGCTCAAAGGGGACCAGAAATCTCCAGGTTTGACGCTTTCCCCTCTCTCCCTCTTTTTTTTTTTTTTTTTCTTTTTCAATTATGTATAAATGTTGACATAACCATGTTATCTGTATTACTAAGTTATATGTAGCTTCAGTTGATTATTATCATATGATTTTATTTTTTTAACACTTTTCTACTTGTCGGGATTGTAGAGTTTTTGAAGCTTAATCCACTTGGATATGTGCCAGTACTTGTGGATGGTGAATTTGTAGTTGCAGACTCTTTTGCTATATTACTGGTGAATTTCTTCATTGATTATGGCAATATAGAATTATTTAATGGTGAATTCGGTATAATTCAACCTTACTATGAAAAGATATTGTTGTTGACTGGATACCACAATTGTGCAGTATCTAGAAGAGAAGTATCCTCAGCACCCATTGTTGCCAAAAGATCTTCAGAAAAGGGCTCTCAATTACCAGGTGAACAATTGCTGGTTAAATATCTCTGTTTGGGAACAATGTTATTAGGTTTAAAGAAGTACACTTGTTCTATCAATAACTATTTTTGTTTTCCAATGAACTCTTTGGATCAATATATCTTGCCACTTCAGGCTTTACCTAGCAAAGGTTAATGTTTTGTTTTTTTTTTTTTTTTTTTCTTTTTTTTTTTTTTTGTATATTTTTCGTTGAAATAATTGTAATATGAAGTGGTGGACCAGTCTATTGTTAGTTTATGCGTCAGCATTATGTATTTATGAACTTATTTCTTCAGCGTCGAAGGTAGATAACTAAGTGAGGAGTGAGAATATATATATATAGGGTTTGGAGTCAGAATAAACTTATCAAAAAACTGTTTGACACACTGGAAAAAGGTCAATAGCAACAACCATCCAGGTGCTGACACACAACACCTGGATTCAAACCCTGGATTTAAAACCTGGCAGACCAACTTTACTGTATATATATATGTATATATATATATATATTCCATGCATTTCGGGGACCAAATGTTTTTACATTTTAGTGGCAATATAACCACCATTTATTTATATATATAACTTTTCTAGATAAATTTTTTTTTTTTTTATTTTTCAATTCGTTTGAGTGCAAGACACATGCAGAATTCATGGCAATTAGACTCATTGGGTTAAAATTATATGACTTTTTAAGCACAAGATGGGTATATAGCTAAGGAAGTTATTGCCAAGAAATTATGACGATCACTTGTGCATCTTCGTTAGGAGGACAATATCATTTGTGACATCAAGAAGCATCCACAATGTTTCGATCGCGAGCATAAGTTCTCTAATGTCACCAAACGAATTTTTATTCCTTTTGCATATTTTTTTATAAGTTAAAATGTCATTTTATTTTTTTATTTTACAAGTATAAATTTTTAATTTCTATTACTTTATTTATTGACAAAATTTTTAATCGTTTTTTAGCATTCTTTTTGTTTCATTTAGCTTTTAATTACTACTTTTATCTACACCTGAAAGAAAGAGCAAGTGGAATTAAAGAAAATTAGTCATTAATCTTAAGTTTGTTAAACCTAAAATTTTATCTTCACATGTGGATATGGATACATTGTGTTCATACACAGTTTCTACTGAGCTCTATCCATAGCAAATTTTGTGTAGTTACGATTATTGTCAGTGTAGCAACGGAGAAGATGAATACGAAGGGTAGGAATTGGTTGTGTTTTTTTATTTTTACCTTTTTACTGGTATCTATATTTACAAGGTGAAATGAAATATCAGGAGTTTTTATTTTTTTAGAAAAAAAAGAGTTTGATTAGTACTTTATGTTTCCGTCAATGTTGAAAAAAGGTAATTAAATAAAGGCTAAAATAAAATTTGCTTGCTACAGAATAAATTCTTTAAAACAAAGAGCATCTTACCATATGTTTGAAGTATCTTTTAAATAATTTCGCCTTCGTTCACTATCAAGTATATGTTTTCCTAACGCATGTGTTTTGTTTTTAAAGAGTCTTTTGGAGAGAATAATAATATTATCTAATAAAAGTAATACTATAACACAAGTTTAGTAACATTACGTGATAAATTTAATTAAATATAGAATTATATGGCTCATTCAATAGTACATCACATTTAATGTCACTTAACCCATATTTAGTGGGAATTAGAATCGTTTTTTAGTAGATTTTAATAAAAAATTAAATGCGTGGTTGAAAGGTTATGAGTATCATAAAATGTGTGGTTAAAATAAATTGTTGACTTTGACTTAATATAAAATCTAGATTTTAATTTCTACCAAACAAGGTTTAGTGTTATTTAAAATGTTGTTGTTTATATCAATAACACTGAAAAAGTGTTATTCTTTTGGAAAAAAACTTATAACTTATATTATATCTTTTTCCGTCTAGCCGTTAGACGAGAAAAAGCACTTATTATAACCGATTCGATCCAATTCGATTCCTAATTCCTAACCTAGAATCGTGGGTATCTGAGTGAAACCGATTTTCATAAAATACAATGTATAGTTGGATAAACAAATATAAAACTTAAAAATCCCTATTTTGGTGATAATTAGTTTAAAAATCTAGATTCTAATCATAAGAAATCAAAACTTGCTCCTATTTTTTTTCATCTTTCCTTACATTAGATTGTTGCATTTACCTACGACTTTTCCCATGCAATTTGCAATACTTGAATGATCAATTTTTATTTTTTTTTTGGTCCAAAGTTATTACATGTTAATCTTTATAATTTGAACTTTTTTATGGGGTAAGTTGATAAATAAAAGCGCTCATCTTCTGCAATTCAACTTTTTACTTTTTTGCATTGTTTACAAACTTAAGAGACTTTTAATTTTTTAAAATACATGGGGATTGAACTTATTCATTGATTGGGTTGTGATATACCTTTTTTGTTATCTTGAGTTCATGATTCTCTTTTTAAATAAAATTTTATTCTTTTTTTATTATTCAAATAGAGCGAGTTCAATATGTAGATTGTAATTTCTTGATGCTATATAGTGATGTACCTAATTAGTATTTATTATGTCGGTTCGTTTTAAGAATAGAAGAATTTATACATTATTCATAATTAAATTATATACTTTACTATGCCACGTTTATGAATCAAATAAGATTTATTAAGAAAAAACAATTTATTCTAAAACTATAATTTGATCTTTGATGTTTGAATTTTCTCCTATTCTTGTTGTTTTTAGTTTCCACTATTTTGCTTCTTGAAAATTTCGTAGCTGAATTTTCTCTCTTACACAAACATTTTTGAGTAGTAGCGTGTCGGATATATGAACTGAAATGGCATATACAAATGTTTGTTAAGCCACCGTTTGGTGAAAATTAAAATTTAAATTTAAATTTGAGTCAAAGTCAATAATTAATTTTAACCATATTTTCATAAGACTCACAATTTTTCAACCATCCCCCTCATCAACTTTTATTAAAATCTATTAAAAATTTAATTTTAATTCTTACCAAAGAGGGCAAAATATATTTAAAAAATTTTATGGGTAGAACCAAAATTGAATCGGATTTGAGTTTGGTTCCACTATTTTACAAGGATCCAAGTGATTCAATTTACGTTGAAATGCTTGGACCAACCCACTTGACCCTTAGACATATGTTGTAATATCGTCTACATATTTTAATTTGACTTCTGTATATATGTTTTAGGTTTCGGATGTAAGATAATAATTTTATTATTATAACTTGAATGAGAATGTCATATCATAAAATGCTTTTAAACTCTAGTAATTTGAAATATTGAAATTATAATCCTAATTTATGTGACGTTAATATAACATTAAATGATGAGTGAAAAGATTATTCTACTGGTATATCAAATATTACATCAAGGATTATATAATGTATAAGTGACATTACGTAAGTAGTTGGAGGAAATTTGAAAATGGATAATTTAATTTTACATTTTATTTAATCTATCGCTTAACACTGTATCATATTTGAAAACTCAGCTACAGGGGCGGGACGACACTGTATCATATTTGAAAACTCAGCTACAGGGGCGGGACGACACTGTATCATATTTGAAAACTCAGCTACAGGGGCGGGACGACACTGTATCATATTTGAAAACTCAGCTACAGGGCGGGACGGTGGGGCCCAAAAAAGTTGGGGTTCAACAGTAACAACCAATCAGCTACCGCCGGCAGAAACCACGCACCAGCTGACGTCGATCCGATGATGATTTAGAATGTAGGTATTTATATATAAAAACAAAAGCACCCATCAATCCAGAATTTGCAATCGCTCTTTCTCCGATAATGGTAACTTTTTTTTAACTCAGTTTTAGGCTTTTAGCTTTAATTTTGTGTTAATGGAATTTGACATTTTGTAATTATATTTAGGCAAGTGGAACTGGTGAGGTTTCAAAGAAGCTGAAGCTCTATTCCTATTGGCGGAGCTCTTGTTCTTGCCGCGTTCGAATCGCTCTCAAATTAAAAGGTCTCGAGTTTTTCTTCATTAATTTGAATTCTCGATTTGTTTTTGCTTAATTTATTTAATTATTTTATTAATTTTTTTTTATGATTAATGAAATAAATACAACCTGAAATTGAATAAACAGGGCTAGATTATGAGTATATCGCAATTAACTTGCTCAAAGGGGACCAGAAATCTCCAGGTTTGACGCTTTCCCCTCTCTCCCTCTTTTTTTTTTTTTTTTTTCTTTTTCAATTATGTATAAATGTTGACATAACCATGTTATCTGTATTACTAAGTTATATGTAGCTTCAGTTGATTATTATCATATGATTTTATTTTTTTAACACTTTTCTACTTGTCGGGATTGTAGAGTTTTTGAAGCTTAATCCACTTGGATATGTGCCAGTACTTGTGGATGGTGAATTTGTAGTTGCAGACTCTTTTGCTATATTACTGGTGAATTTCTTCATTGATTATGGCAATATAGAATTATTTAATGGTGAATTCGGTATAATTCAACCTTACTATGAAAAGATATTGTTGTTGACTGGATACCACAATTGTGCAGTATCTAGAAGAGAAGTATCCTCAGCACCCATTGTTGCCAAAAGATCTTCAGAAAAGGGCTCTCAATTACCAGGTGAACAATTGCTGGTTAAATATCTCTGTTTGGGAACAATGTTATTAGGTTTAAAGAAGTACACTTGTTCTATCAATAACTATTTTTGTTTTCCAATGAACTCTTTGGATCAATATATCTTGCCACTTCAGGCTTTACCTAGCAAAGGTTAATTAATATAAGATAAAAGTGGTTCAACATGATTCAACTTATGACTCTTCCCCAGTTATCTTAGGAGACAATTTCATCTCTTCTGCATCATGTCTAGGAACTAATGTGCTAATGATTCACTAACCTTTTTCTAAAATATTGGGATCGGATTATTTTGTTAATTCAAAAATGTTCATAGAAACATTTATTTTCTCTTTTGATTGAAATTATGAAAACTAGAAGAAGATGTGAGGACTAATCTACTTGGTTATACAATGTTAAAGAGCACACATAGCATAAGCTTGTGGTGAACTTTCTAACGATATGCACATATTAAATATTACTGTGCTGGTTTAGAGGAATGAAGGAATGGGGGGAGCGAATAGGGAAAATCTTGACTTGTACTACTAAAAGTACGCAAACAATAACTAATTTTGGTAGTTCTAATAGATTTGTTCTTTATGTGGTGGAGAACGTGCTTGAGGACATTGAATAAAGTAATGACCTGAAAAATTTACTGCCAATTTCATCTTCTAAATAAATCATATGCAATTATTTACCTTTTCTTCTTAGGTTTTGAATCTAACTTTGCTTCTTAATGTTTTACTAATTGCAGGCTGCAAATTTGATTTCTGCAAACATACAACCTCTCCAGAATTTACCTGTCCTCGTGAGCATAAAATTGCCCTTTTGATGTCAATTTCATGTTCCTTACTATAAAATTTCCAATTTACATGTGAGCATGATATGTTTTCATTATCATATATTGCATATTTAATTGATTTTTCAATGTGCAGGGCTATATTCAAGAAAAACTTGGTCCTGACGAGAAAATTCCTTGGGGTCAAACTCATATACGAAAAGGCTTTGCTGGTAAGCATTGACCTTGGTATCCTTTCTTTGAAGAAAGAAAAGAAATGTCAGGAGGAGAAACCATTTCTAGTAGGAGTGCTATGCAATTGCATTTAGATGTACAGATAACTTGATTTCAGACTCATAACAGTTAACAATTTGATTGCATTGTTGAATAATATCAAGCTTAAGTAATTTCTGACACCAAGGTTCCTCGTCTACTTCTTGCATTGATCTTATTTAATGTTTGGATTTAAATTCATATCATGTACTACAGGAGAAGCACAATTGACTTTGAGCAATTGATTTCCTTAGCCCCGTTAGTCAAAATATGTTAAAAAATTATGCTATTTTCTATGGCATGCCTTGCATAAAATCTTAATTCATTGGGTTTTCCAACTCTCATATTCTATACATATGCTTCACCCTGATGTGGTCCTCTCTCTGTACACCATTATGATTATAGCCTACTTGCCGGTGGCTGCTGAATTTGTGTTATTCTAGAATAAACATGATCTGCTGTGGCAAAATAAATTAATTCTTAATAATGTAAATAGTTAATTTATATTTAATCCAGTTACTCTTTCAATTTTTAGCATCCAAAGACTTGTTACTATGGAGACACCAGTTGTTCTATGCCACCATTATAACTTTAGATTCACCACTGATTAAAAATTAAGTCAAGTTGAGTGAATTATCAGATGGACTCAATCTCTCTCTTCAAACTGAGCAGTTATTAGATATCAAACAAACCTCCCTAGAAGGTTATTTTAATGTAACCAATTTCTCTCTTTTACAATCAATTTCTCTACAACACCGCTTATGTTAACTAATTGTACATCCTTTCCAAGTGTGATTTATATGTTATGTATGGCTGTGCCTAAGGGCATTTCAGTTGAAGTAGATCTATTTGATCAATCAAAACCACGATTACTCCTTTGACTCTGCATTCTTTAATTGTTGAAATTTTGTGCTATTTTTGAAATGTTTTGTTTATACATGGAATTAATGCTCAAGTTGATTAGCACATGTAACTTGGATGAGTCATACTTGTAGAATTGACTGACAACACGTTCTGCAAGCATGACAAAGTAATTATTCTTCACTCAAGTTTGGAAGAAGTGGTTAATTTGAGTGTGTTATTAGGCCTTCCATCATCCGTGTGAGTAGTGGGAAAAAAAAATGAAAAAGAAAAGAGAAGCGGTTTGCTTAGCTGACAGGGAAATAAGTGTTTTGAGTTGAGATGTCACTGGTAAATCTAATATCAATTCAGTTGTAATTTGTGCTTGTGCCACCTACTCTAGAAATAGGTTACTATGCTAAATATGGTTATCATCTGAATATTCTAGTAACTATTTGATTTGTGCTGCGACAGTTCTATTTTTTTCCCCCTTCAAATCACATTCCCCTTTTCTGATTTCAATTGAATCTGCAGCTCTGGAGAAGCTATTAGAAAATTACGCTGGAAAATATGCCACGGGGAATGAAGTTTTCCTGGTTTGTTTCTTTCCTCGTACATAATTTGCTTATTACTGGTGCATGTTTTCATGCTTGAATTACAAATTGCACCTTATCAGGTTAATGGTCTGGCCAGGTCCAAATTTGTACCAATTACTGATGATGAATCCAAGTTCGTAATTGTCACTTTATTTCATCCTCAAACGTCCTAAAATACCAGGCCATGAGCAAATGTAAATTGGTCTAATTTGACAAGTTAAATATAATCTAATTATGATATAATTGCAGTATCACCTTGCATACATTGGATTTATACGTATAGATTAAGAGTATTTTGGGGGTTTTTTATTCATGGGCTATAAACTTGCAGGCTGATTTGTTTCTGGCACCCCAGATTGATGGTGCAGTCAGAAGATTCAATGTTGACATGGTAGGCCCTTCATTGAAATCCTATCATATATATAAGGAACTTTATACTTCTTGAAGTAATCATGCAATTAAAACACTTTAAAAATTCCATTTTCTTAGAGAAATTTTGATCAGTTGTATGCTATTTATCCGCTTTTCTTTCAAGTTCATCAAATTGAATGGTCCCCAGGTTCGTGCAGCATTGTTTCATGTTCATAGAGTTATCATAAAACAATAGCTATAATTCAGTCATCTTCCTTTTTGGGGGAGTGAATTTTTCCTGATTAGGCTTTCAGTCTTTTCATCTGCATCATATATTTTGTGGATTTATGACAACTACAATTTCAGTATACATGTTTCTTTTCTGAAGGACTGCACAGTAGACCTGTTTTACCTTGCCTCATTGCATTTAATTCTAGATGTAGGTGCATTTATCAACATATCTGTATATGTATATGATAATTTACCATCAATAAGTTGAACCTCAATATGTGGGCAGAGTGAATATTTGAAAATGCAATAGAAAGGACTTGAAAAAATCAAGAATCGAATTCGGAGGCTAAAATGCAACATTCGAGAGTTTGTATAACTGAGCAACCACCCAGTTGTTTAGAGTGGTCGATTGCCCAATGTTAAAAAATAATTAACGAGAAGAAAACTTTGAACCGGGGGTCGACCAGGCCAATCGCAACGAAAAATTTCTGATTCCCTATTCTGACTAGAATTCTGATGGAAACAAATCTTTGGAAGTACTTTAAAACCCTTGGGCCTTCCCTAAAGAAAAGAGTACACATTGGGAAGGAGAAAAACACATATTAGAGAGAATTTGGAGCTATAATAACAAAGAAAAATACAAAAATTGACAGGATTTCACGCACTTAATTAACCAGATGATGTTATTTCTGCAAGTTATTATATATTTGTAGTGTTCTAAAAGGATTAATGCGTGGCGATGCGTTGATGTCAAGCTAAGGACAATGCGATATTAGGCGAGGCAAATGCGTAAAAAAGTGTTTTCTAATTTTAATATTATTTAAAATTTTTAATCAATAAAAAAATTATTTAATAATTATAAGTTTTAACTTAAAAGAATTGTAAAAAGAAAAAAAAAACCTAATAATGTGCGCCTAGGAGTGCATTGGCGCCTTAGCCTCGCCTCGCGCTGATGCGCTAATTGGCGCGCTATTTAAAACAATGGTATTTTGTAAGTTTCTCCATGTCAGACTAGAAATTCTTATACTAGGGCTATGTTTGGTACCCATTTTTATCAAAATGCATTTTTCTCTCTCTTCTTTTCAACCACACATTCTTTATTAAAATAATATTACACGTAAATCAAAAAAATTTTCTTATTTTTCAACCACACATTTCCCATCAATTTACTATTCAAAAATACATTTTCACATAAAAATTCCTACCAAACACCCTCTAGGAGATTGGTGAACCTTGTAATATGATTTTTTTAATTCATTTTTCTATATTTTTGATATTAAAACTCGTATTGAATATTTTGAATGATTTATATATTTAAGTTCTTCCATAATTATTGGGCCCGTAATTGTGTGGGTTTGGTGATCTATTTCTTGTATTCGAAAGAAGTGGAATTAGTTCGACAACGTATAAATCGTTAATTACATCAAACTTGTGTTCCAAATATTCAATTTGCATTTTCAGTTCATACAAGCGTCAATTTGCATATTAATTCATTCAAGTCATACACATTTGCATATCTAATTTAGGTTAATCATTTTTGACAATCTTGTTTCGGTTAAAGCCAAGATAAATAAAATTAGACTACTCAATCTCTGTGAGACGATATTTGGAACTCTAAATTTCACTTTATTACTTATTACAAACCGTACACTTGCGGGTTTAGATTGAAATATTATTTTTCATGATCACACTTCACCATTTTTTGATATTTTTTTCCACCAAAGAAGGCAATGTATTGTAATTTGTTGTCAGGGATTTTGTAGAGCTTCCATGCATTTCGGGGACCAAATGTTTTTGCGTTTTACTGGCAATATAATCACCATTCATTTATATATATAATTTGTATGGACAATTTAACAATGGGTAAACAATTTTACCCTTGATTTATTTTTATTTTTATTTTTATTTTTTTCTTATTTTTCAATTCATTTGAGTGCAAGACACGCAGAATTTATGGCAATTAGACACGTTGGGGTTAAAATTAAATGACTTTTGAGCACAAGATGGATATATAGCAAAGGAAGTTATTGCCAAGAAATTATGACGATCACTTATATATCTTCGTTAGAGATTATTGACGACAATATCATTTGTAACATCAAGAAGCATCCACAATGTTTCGATCGCGAGCATAAGTTGTCTATATCACCAAATGAACTTTTATTCCTTTTACATATTTTTTTATAAGTTAAAATGTCATTTTAACTTATAATTTTTAATATTACAAGGATTAATTTTTAAATTTCTATACTATATTTATTTACAAAATTTTTAATAATTTTTTTAGCATTCTTTTTGTTTCATTTGGCTTTTAATTAGTACTTTTATCTACAATTGAATGAAAGAGGAAGTAGAATTTAAAAAAAAAAAAAAATTAGTCAATTAATCTTAAGTTTGTTAAACCTAAAATTTTATCTTCACATGTGGATATGGAGATACATTGTGTTCATACACAATTTCTGCTGAGCTCTGTCCATAGCACATTTTGTGTATCTTGATAGCCGTTACGATTATTGTCAATGTAGTAATGGAGAAGATGAATATGAAGGGAAGGAATTTTTATTTTTATTTTTATTTTTTACTTTTTTACTTTTATTAACTTTGGCTTTTTTTTTTTTTTTTTTTAATTTCTACTTCTGATATCTATATTTACAAGTTGTATAAATCGCTCTTATTTGAAGTTTTCATTGAGGTGGGGTGAAATATCAGGAGTTTATATCTTATTGGAAAAAAAGAGAGTTAGATTATTACTTTGTATTTCCATCAATATTGACATGTTCAATTTTTTTATATGTTTGAACTTTTAAATGAGTCTTGTCCTAGCATTATTAACAAATAACATTACTCTTCTTTTATCTTCCGTCCTTATTTGGTTCAGTTAAACATTATATTTTTAATAGATTTTGATAAAAGTTAATGAAATATGTATTTGAAAAGTTGATAAAAATTGTTGATCTTACGAAATGTGTTATTAAAAATGAAATTGAGAAAAAAATATTAAATGGTAATCAAATAAAGGCTTGATAAAATTTACTTGGTATAGAATAAATTCTTTAAAACAAAGAGCGTCTTACCATATGTTTGAAGTATCTTTTAAATAATTTCGCCTTCATTCACTATCAAGTATATGTTTTCCTAACGCATGTGTTTCGTTTTTAAAGTGTCTTTTGGAGAGAATAATAATATTATCTAATAAAAGTAATACTATAACATAAGTTTAAGTGACATTATGTGATAAATTTAATTAAATATAGAATAATATGACTCATTCAATAGTACATCACATTTAATGTCACTTAACCCATATTTGGTGGGAATTAGAATAATTTTTAGTGGATTTTGATAAAATATGAAATGTGTGGTTGGAAAACTGTGAGTCTCATAAAATGTGTGTTAAAAATAAATTTTTGATTTTGACTTAAAATAAAATCTAGATTTTAATTTCTACCAAATAGGGTTTAGTGTCATCTAAATTGTTGTTATATCAACGGTACTGAAAAGTGTTATTCTTTTGAAAAAAAACTTAGAACTTATATTATCTCTTTTTTTGTCTAGACATTGGACGAGAAAAAGCACTTATAATTTATATTATGCTAAATAATACACGTTTATACAAATAATTGTTGACATAAGTGGTGTTGTAATAAGTTTGGACATTTTAATTGAAATCAAATCTTTCAAGCCAAAATCGATACCAAAAATGTAAATTAGGAAGTGGATAACCGATTAGATCCAATTCAATTCTTGATTCCTAAACCAGAATCGTGTGTATCTGAGTGGAACTGTTTTTCAGAAAATACAATTTATAGTTGGATAAATAAATATAAAACCTAAAAATCCTAATTATAGTGATAATTAGTTTTAAAATGTAGACTCTAATCATAAGAAATCAAAACTGGCTCCTACTTTTTTACATATCTCCTCATATTATATTGTTGCATCTACCTGCCACTTTTCTCATGCAATTTGCAATACTTGAATGATCGATTCCTTTTTTTTCTTTTTTGGTCCGAAGTTTTGACATGTTAATGTTTCCAATTTGAACTTTTTTATGAATAAAAAAGTTCAAGCTATGTTATGCTGTAAGTTGATAAATAAAAGCACTCATTTTCTGCAATTAAAGTTTTTTATTTTCTTGCATTGTTTAAAAACTTAAGAGACTTTTAATTTTTTAAAATACATGGGGATTGAACTTAATTTATTCATTGATTGGGCTGTGATATACATTTTTGTTATCTTAAATTCGTGATTCTCTTTTTAAATATAATTTTATTCTTTTTTTTTAATTATTCAAATAGAGCGAGTTCAATGTAGACTGTAATTTCTTGATACTATATAGTGATGTAACTAATTAGTATTTATTATGTCGGTTCGTTTTAAGAATAGAAGAATTTAGACATTGTTCATAATTAAATTATATACTTTACTATGCCTCGCTTATGAGCTAAATAAGATTTATTAAGAAAAGATAATTTATTCTAAAATTATAATTTAATTTTTAATTTTTGAATTTTCTCCTATTCTCGTTGTTTTTAGTACCATTAATGCTTCTCGAAGATTTCCTAGTTGAATTTTGTACTATTACACAAATATTTTTGAGTAGTAGCGTGTTGGATATATGTACTGAAATGACATATATGAAAATGTTTATTAAGTCACTATTTGGTGAAAATTAAAATTAAAATTTCAATTTTAATTTAAGTCAAAGTCAATAATTAATTTTAAACATATTTTCATAGGACTCACAACTTTCAATCACTTGCTTCATCAACTTTTATTAAAATCTATTAAAAATTTAATTTTAATCCCTACCAAAAAGGGCTAAATATATTTATAAAAATGTTATGGATAAAATCAAAATCGAATTAGAATTGAGTTTGGTTCCACTATTTTACAAGGACTCGAATAATTCAATTTACGAAATACTCGAAAAATAGTGGGTGATTTCAGATATTGAAATACTCGAACCAACCACTTGATGCTTAGACATATGTTGTAATATCGTCTACATATATTAATTTAATTTCTATATATATGTTTTAGGTTTCAGATGTAATATAATAATTTTATTATTATGACTTGAATGTAAAAAATGTCATATCATAAAATGTTTTAAAGCACTAGCAATTTGAAAGAGTAATATTATTTAGCTTCATTGAAATTATAACCAAATTTATGTGACAATAATGCAACATTATATGATAAGTGGAAAGATTATTATATTTGTATATCAAATGTTACTCAAGGGTTATATAATATATAAGTGGCATTACGTAATTGATTGGTGAAAATTTAAAAATAAGTCATTTAATTTTACATTTCATTTAATTTATCACTTAACATCATATACACTGGGATTATAATTCAGGTGGGGGCTAAATGGTAATATTTAATTTGAAAACGGCCGTATAATTATTTTGTCTCGAAAAGTTAAATATAAAGGTCAAAATGTAGCAAAATAAATTAATTCTTAATAATGTAAATAGTTAATTTATATTTAATCCAGTTACTCTTTCAATTTTTAGCATCCAAAGACTTGTTACTATGGAGACACCAGTTGTTCTATGCCACCATTATAGCTTTAGATTCACCACTAATTAAAAATTAAGTCAAATTGAGTGAATTATCAGATGGACTCAATCTCTCTCTTCAAACTGAGCAGTTATTAGATATCAAACAAACCTCCCTAGAAGGTTATTTTAATGTAACCAATTTCTCTCTTTTACAATCAATTTCTCTACAACACCGCTTATGTTAACTAATTGTACATCCTTTCCAAGTGTGATTTATATGTTATGTATGGCTGTGCCTAAGGGCATTTCAGTTGAAGTAGATCTATTTGATCAATCAAAACCACGATTACTCCTTTGACTCTGCATTCTTTAATTGTTGAAATTTTGTGCTATTTTTGAAATGTTTTGTTTATACATGGAATTAATGCTCAAGTTGATTAGCACATGTAACTTGGATGAGTCATACTTGTAGAATTGACTGACAACACGTTCTGCAAGCATGACAAAGTAATTATTCTTCACTCAAGTTTGGAAGAAGTGGTTAATTTGAGTGTGTTATTAGGCCTTCCATCATCCGTGTGAGTAGTGGGAAAAAAAAAAAAGAGAAGCGGTTTGCTTAGCTGACAGGGAAATAAGTGTTTTGAGTTGAGATGTCACTGGTAAATCTAATATCAATTCAGTTGTAATTTGTGCTTGTGCCACCTACTCTAGAAATAGGTTACTATGCTAAATATGGTTATCATCTGAATATTCTAGTAACTATTTGATTTGTGCTGCGACAGTTCTATTTTTTTCCCCCTTCAAATCACATTCCCCTTTTCTGATTTCAATTGAATCTGCAGCTCTGGAGAAGCTATTAGAAAATTACGCTGGAAAATATGCCACGGGGAATGAAGTTTTCCTGGTTTGTTTCTTTCCTCGTACATAATTTGCTTATTACTGGTGCATGTTTTCATGCTTGAATTACAAATTGCACCTTATCAGGTTAATGGTCTGGCCAGGTCCAAATTTGTACCAATTACTGATGATGAATCCAAGTTCGTAATTGTCACTTTATTTCATCCTCAAACGTCCTAAAATACCAGGCCATGAGCAAATGTAAATTGGTCTAATTTGACAAGTTAAATATAATCTAATTATGATATAATTGCAGTATCACCTTGCATACATTGGATTTATACGTATAGATTAAGAGTATTTTGGGGGTTTTTTATTCATGGGCTATAAACTTGCAGGCTGATTTGTTTCTGGCACCCCAGATTGATGGTGCAGTCAGAAGATTCAATGTTGACATGGTAGGCCCTTCATTGAAATCCTATCATATATATAAGGAACTTTATACTTCTTGAAGTAATCATGCAATTAAAACACTTTAAAAATTCCATTTTCTTAGAGAAATTTTGATCAGTTGTATGCTATTTATCCGCTTTTCTTTCAAGTTCATCAAATTGAATGGTCCCCAGGTTCGTGCAGCATTGTTTCATGTTCATAGAGTTATCATAAAACAATAGCTATAATTCAGTCATCTTCCTTTTTGGGGGAGTGAATTTTTCCTGATTAGGCTTTCAGTCTTTTCATCTGCATCATATATTTTGTGGATTTATGACAACTACAATTTCAGTATACATGTTTCTTTTCTGAAGGACTGCACAGTAGACCTGTTTTACCTTGCCTCATTGCATTTAATTCTAGATGTAGGTGCATTTATCAACATATCTGTATATGTATATGATAATTTACCATCAATAAGTTGAACCTCAATATGTGGGCAGAGTGAATATCCTATCCTATCGAGGATTAACGAGGCGTACAAAGAACTCCCTGCTTTTCAAGATGCTATGCCAGGAAAGCAACCTGATACGCCACCAGAGGCTAGAGCCTGAGGTAAAACATTAGCGAAATACATTTATCATGTTCTTTACCTTCAGCGACCATCATGTTTTGATTAATTAACTAATTATAAGATATTCAATTCTAGTGAAACAGATCCCATCCTTTTACTCATTTCATGTTTTTTTTTTATTATAATAGCTTATCATTTAGCATTACTTTTCTTGTTCTTAAAATCTCGAAAGACTTGCTCTTCTGATTCTTGGTTTGTTGGAAACCAGCACTTAGCTGTGTCAGGATTCTAGGATGGAGCACAATTTCATTAAGCTGGCAGAGCAGAAAGAGTGACCAGAAGGAAAGAAATAATCCATAATATATTGTTCATTAGTAATTCACACTCACTTATGGTGCTATTGGTGTGTTATTTAAGTGCTGAAAGATGCTTTATGTAAAATATATGTTACTGTTTAGTTTCATGAATAAGATGCATTATCCTATATACATCATGTGGTTTCAGAATGAAAAGTTGGATGCTATAGTGCTTTATAACGAAGTCAACTGGCATATATCGTGGAGGTTCAAGCAAATAATGAAATACAATTTGCTAGCAAGTTTTCAACGAATGGAAGATTTAACCATTTGTCGATGTCCGAAAGTGGCAATATATGGCTAGAACTGTAACCATTAAACAACTCAAAACAACGAAAGTACTATAAGAACTCTCGATTTTTTGGCCTAGTTTATTGAACATTTTCTGGCGATGTAACATATCATTGACAATAATAAACAACAGTATGATCCCGAATTTACTAGATTTTCAATGACTCGAGTTTGGAATTCACATCTGAACCATATAGATGTGAACATAAACAAATCAAATCACATTGATGAATGCTACTTTCTTGAGTGATGACCACTGATTGATGCTACTTTATTTCGGAAAGTTTGATATCGACAAAATGGTAGTTGCAAGGAGAAAATGTTAGACAGATTATCAACGGAGATTCCCTGTTTTTTCATTTTGAAGAGATATAAACATCATTTACAGATAGAAGGGAGGAAATCGATTGATCATAAATATACCCTCAACAACATTTTCAAACATGAAACATAATAACCTCAAAAAAGATTACTAAGAGAAAAATAACAATTATCACACGAAATTTTGTTTACAATATATAAATAGTAGGTATGCACTGATACAAAAGAACATAAATCATACTTCCCTTTGTTTTTATTACTAAATATTTTCCAATGATACCTTAATCCTCTTATTATCTCCATTTCTTTTTGGCCTCATATTAGCAGCAGTAATAAGTTTATAACCAGAAGGGGGCATCTCACTTAGCTTGCCAAACCATTCCTCATAGAACTGCCACACTTCTGACCTGTTCAAAAGAAAGCCCGGCTAGAAAACTTAAACCCGAGTCCAAACTCTGGAAGAAGAGGCTTGAAACAGAGAAATTTAAAACAACTTACCAATAAGCTAGAAACTGAAATGGTGCGTATTTCCCATAAATCACTTCAACATCTCTTTGAACTGTCCGAATTTTTGAGCTTTTGGCATGAACCTAATTATATACAGAGGACTTAAAGCAGATCTTAGGAAGATGCGAATGAATGAACTAAATGGTGAAAGGTTGATTTCATAGAAAGGAAATAGACCTGTTCTAGATGCCTAATAGTTTCTGAATCAGTTGGAATGACATGGTAAAATCCCATGCACATCAGAACATTAGCGCAAGTAAACGGTCCAAATCCATCTATATTTTTCAGCTTCTCCGCCAACTTATCATACTCAGACAAGCTTAGAGTACCAACGACATCTTCAAGTTCTCTTAGTCGAATCCTACCCTCAACTATTTCTTGAGCAAGCTTCAATATACGACCTGCTCTATAGCCTAGATGGCACCGTTTTGCTAAAAGCTTCTCGTTAAGGGAAGCCAGTTCTCTTGGGCTCGGGAAATTTCCAATTTTAGTGCAGGAGGAAACTCCTTTCCCTTCTAAAGGCTGAAAATCAGGAAAACAACAGCAGTCAGCTTTATAGCAATAGGATGTTTGATACTAATCACGATGCTTAAAAAATCCTCCTCTAAATCCTATTTTAGGCTAAGCTTAAAAATAAGTAAAACTAACTCTATGCATCTTTTTTTTGAACTAAACAAAATCTTAGAAGTTAATTTTTATTAACAAAAAGAAAAAAAAAAAAAATGCTTCTCAGAAAGGTAATGTTTAAGCTTAACCAAACATGAACTAAGATTCCAGGTTACCGGGAAGCAGTCTGACATTTGGACACAACTTTCTTCCAAGTTAGCATATTTTTCCATTTCTTTAACCTCTGCATATCTGTTAGCTAAGTTAATTGAACATTCGTGAACTCCGGGGTTTTTCTTTGACTCTTTCCCTGCAGGTGTTTTCGGAACGAACTGATTGGTTTCAACTGTTTGACACCCGGAAATAATTTCATTAGCAGCGTTCACAAGAGATTCATCAGACAAGGGAAGCTGTAGTTCCAACTGCAGTTCACAAAGTGCTTTAGCCATACTCAATGTCCTTGACCACCTGCAAAAGAGAAGCTCAACGGATACAAAAGTAGAGACTAAATACGTTCGATTAACTTCTTACTTAGACTTCTACGTTTGACACCAATTTTCAGAGGGACAATCATTGCAGATCAGGGTTTACTAAATGGCAACCATGTTGACGACAACAAATGCAAACTACACAAATCAGGAATATTTCGTACACAACACCAGATCGTACTAGGCAGTACATTTTCCAAGATCACAGTTTTTTATCTTCCCACAGAGGAGAAAATGATAATTATACTTGTATCGGAATGATAAGAAACCAAAAGTAGAATCTTGTAACCTAAAAGTGGAAGATTGGTCTCATTCATCATTTCTGGATGAAAAGTTTGGCATAATTATACGAAACAAAAACCAAAATATGTTACCACCAACTTATTTACATTGAGATTTTAGTAGCCTGAAGTTCATAGATCATGGTTGAAAACAAAGATATACAGGTACCCAAGACCAAACGGCCCGGTGACATTTTTTTAACCCTGCATACTTAATTCAATATTTTCTGCACTGAAAGTTATAGAACTTGATTTTCCTAATTCACAAGTTTCCTTCTTTTCATTTGGGAACTATAACCAATATAGAATAGTTAGGCGAAGGCATTATTAGCAAAGGTCGACCATATTCTTGAAAAAAAGACAAAACTCACTCACTGGCAATTGCAAAGGAGAATGCATTTAACCATGTCCTCAAACAACGTTGGCGACCTGAAAACCCTTCCGAACCCCCTGTTTTTTGCTTCCTCGTGGAATTCTTGAAAATTTCTTATCCTCTGATTCTCTTCGTCCGATAATCTCAACATTCTCCTCACTTGATCCTACAATTAGTAACCCAATTAAATCTATAATATATTAATTATCACATCAATTGAGAATATTTTTTGGACAATTATATCCTTACTATAATCCTATTATTTCAATAACACCTTACTTTTCGTTTTTAATATGTATTTATTATTTCAATAATACCCTACTTTTCATTTTCAATATGTATGTAATTTATTAATCATTTGACCAATATTATCTTTAATTATTTTATCAACTATTTAATTATGATTAAGGTACATTTGACACATTCATTATCTTACTTTTCATTTTTCAATATGTATTTAATTATTTAATCATATTTGGCGGATTCATTACCTTTTAATTTTTCAATAGGTAATTGAGTTATTTAATTATTTGAACAATATTATCATGAATTATTTTGTCAACTATTTAGTTATGATCACTGTACATTTGATAGATTCATTGCACTTGACTGAAGATGAATATTTTTACAGTTTTCTTCGAGTTGTTTTATTCAATGAATGTTAAGATACAGAGAAGGTAAATGGAGAGACATAATGCGTATCTAAATAATTTCAATGCACATTAAGTGAATATGAAGAAAGAAATGATATTCGTTGGATGTCAGTTTTGATCTCAAAACGGTAAATGGGAGGCCTATTCTAATTGTCTTCTTCAACTATTTACATCGTTTTCACAAACTGGTTTTTATTTCATTTCAATCAAAAGTTCAATCCACCTAAACAATTTGTATTAATTATTTTTTATATTCTCGTTACTTTTATAGCACATATATAGCAGTTCAGTAGTTCAACTATGACTAGTATTTCCAAATGCAAACAAGATAGCAACATACAGCTCATAAAAACACAAATCAGTGCTAAAGGAAGATATGTGAAAACAGGGCACGACATCTTGAAAATTAATTAAAAAGTTCAAAATTTGCATTGTGAATCCAAAAACTATATGAAACTGCACCAACCATCAAGTATGGTGCAGTACATTATGCACCAAAAATTGTACCCGGACAAAAATAATTTGTATACTCTTCAAGAACTTAAGTGGAAAAAGAAGCTAAACCCAAAAGTATCAACATCAAGCACAACACTATGCGTTAAGAATCAAACCTTTCAAGAACATTAAGTACAGAAAATAAAAAAGTGCCTACCAGCAGTGAGTGTTGGTGTTGAGGGGAGAGAGAGCTGGTGTCAAATACGCAGAGTCGAAGCGCGTGAGGGGAGTCAATAGGGTGAGAGATTTGCACCATGAGTGAAGCTTCATGGTCCTCGTGATGGGGATCGAGATTGAGGCGGAGGGGCCGCTGGAGAGTCTTGGACTGTGGGTCCCAATGGTTGGGGGCCATCATGAAAAGCCCATGGCTGCATACAGCTTTCTCGAGATTAAATGTGGCTGCGGCATCTCCTAGTGGCAACTCCACCACCACGACGCCGGTAGCAGTGGCGGCCGCCGTGTCTTCTGTGTTCATTTTATGGGCCTCTGTGTTTTTATTGGTTGATCCGTTTCACCGTGATAAAAGGCTATAACAAGCGCAGATAGAAAAGTAAGTTTTATGATATTGACAAAAATAGCACTACATTTGTCTCGAAAACATATTGTTCGAGTATATTTCTTTTCTAGCTTTCGAGGGTGAGAGATAAATTTGAACAAGCAAATGTTTGCTATAGATTTTTTAGAATAAATTTCATGAAAAATGCTTCTGTAAAATCTGTTCCAACAATCAATCACGACGGATTCGAGACGAATTTAAATGAAGTGAAATCGATTTTTAAATTGAATCAAATCACTCGACTGCAAATTGAAAGAGGTCCACTAACCCGAACCTTCTGTCAGAAAAATAAAGTCTTATTCTTGGCTCCAATGATTTCTTATATTCAAATTCCAAATTTTCAGTATTTAATCCCAAAATCTCCTCTACTCCTATTTCGACTCTAATATTTGCTATTAAAAAAAATAAAAAGTTATTAGTCTACTTGCAAAATTATTTTATCAAGACAATACAAAATTGCTAATGAATTTGAGAAAGAATGGGTTTCAAAAAATCTGTGCCAAGCCCTCGTTTTAACCACATTATTGTAAAAATGAGAATAAAAAATATAACCGTTATCAGCCTCCCCATAAGAGATAAAAAGTCAAATATGATGGCTTGATGTGATAGATAACGATCATATTTTTCATTTTAATGAGGAAATAATAGGGATCAAAATAGTGCTCTTTTGTTACTGTTGAACTTAAGTTGATGTGGGTGGTGTCTTATAAAAAACACTTGGATGGTTAAATTAATAACCAAAAAATGTATTTTAAGTTAATAACACAATTTAATAACAAATATTAGTAAATAGCAATTAAATAGTTTGCCCGCTATGGTTTATGTGTTGGTATAATGTTGAAAACTTGCTTCTCAAATATTAGGGAAAAAAAAAATTAAGCGATCTATGTGATGATGAGTAAGTGTCACATTTTCTAATTAATTATATGCATCTAAATTTTATAGAAAAATGTATCAATTAACTTACTGTCACATAGACGGCTAATGAGTAATAAACACAAGTGTAACATGTCCATTCTAGTAGATCGACACGCATTATTCCATCAAATGACTATTTTTAAAACAGATTTATTTCAATAAATTTCAGTGAAGCCAATTTTAACTCACTATTGAACTAGACATGAAACCAACTCTCGTTTTTAACACCTAAAATTGGGTTCTTGAGGGAGTGACCAAGATTGCATAACTTGTTTTATCCAATGCAATAACTAATTGTACGAAATTAAATTTTCATTCTTTAGCAGCTAGAATCTAACACTTAGAAACAAATTACAGCCCAAGTGACAAAGAGTCAACATTGAAGTTCTAAACTTTTTGGTCGATATGAGCTCTTGAAGATCCTTGAGAGATGTTGCCGAACTTTATTTGATATGTATCTTCATCGCGAAGATAGTTCACTTTTTGGTTCCTTTATACTATGCGACACCATTATCGGGACATGCTAGTAGTTGCTTTTTCAGCTTTTCGATTATCATAACCAGCTTTGTATTGAACCGATTCACGAAGCATTTGGGCAGCCATCCTGCTGGATCCAACTGAACCGATTCACGAAGGATTAGATTTTTAAATCTTGCTGTCACTCGTTTATTGAAATTGTAAGTAAAAATAAATTTGGGATTGTACAATATTATATAAGTTGTTTTACCTGAACAATATAAGTGACAATGCAAGAATCATCTTCAAGCTTCTCAACAACCCATCCAGACTGCAAAAGTAGGCCTCTAATGGCATTGTTTTGCTTTGGATGTAAGCCAGCAGCTATCTCTTTTGGAAGAGAAGCTACTGCCACTACCTGCATATATATAGCCATGAATTCATTCAGTCGAAAGAAATTGTCTTCTCAATATTTACGTTTTTTCTACTCGACAGGACTATACAGTACGATGGTTTTTGTTTTGATCCTTAATACCAAACATGTCGACTGAGTTTAGTTTGAAGTGTTCACCAGAGTTCCATCATCCATGGTTTCATGTCGCTCGTAGACTATAAATTCTCTGTTTCTGAATAGGGGCTTGGATTTTTCTCCGAATCTTAGGCGGATTATACTGAGGTTTTCTTCAAGGTTTTTTATGTAATTGGCTTCTACTAAATCAGAGTCCCATTGCTGCTCCAATGATGGCAAAAATCAAAGAAAATTAGCGAGCTAATATATATACACACAAAATGATGGTAAAGGGGGCGCATTGAAGATAACCTTAGATAAATAGATAGGTTTGTTTATTTCGAACAATTTAAGCTTCTAGACGAGCTGTTTTAACAGAATCAAAACAAAGAATGTGAAGAGTCATCGAAAACAATTCTAATTTATATGGATTTTATGTGGTTACGAAGGATTTGATCTCGTGGGATACTTCTTTAAAAATAGCAATACAACGAAAGAAGTGACATGAATAGAATTCACATAGTCGACCCTAAATTTCTCACCTTAGCAGCATCAATGGCATTAGCCACCGTAATGAATTGCTGAGGAGAGACTGACTTAAGTAACCACCGGCTGCGAAATGTGTGAAGTGATCCCGACCTTTGTTTCGATATCTCAATTCCATTGTCTATGCCAAGTACTTTCCAGCCATCATTAGCACTCCCAACACTGTTTGAATCTGAAGCAGAGAGTAATTCTTGTATGCAATTCTCACTTGCATAGAACACATATCTTCTTAGAGATTCCTCACTTATAGACCTTCAAAATCAATGATTCAACTAAAAAATTTCAAATCTTAAATCCAAAACATTAATTGAATTCATCACATAGATTTTCTTGAAACTATTAATGAGGTACTTACCAGGATCCAGTGCAGTTTGCTAGGCTACTGCCCATTTTGGGCTTTTGTTTCTTGAATGCAGGGTAGTTGAAGATCAAGAGTGATAGATATATGCAAGAGGAGAGAGATTAGAGAAAGTACTAGTCCTAGATTGCTTTTCAGAGGGATATCTGAAGGTGTAAAATGTTGAAGAATAAATTTAAATAAATAATGCACCAAAAGGTTCCCAGATTGAGTCTTGTTACTACTCATTTATGAATATTGTGCATTTGATTTCAAATAAATCTGGTCTTGTACATGAAGGGCGTGTTGAAGACTAAATTTAAATAAATAGATCAGTTTTGATTGCTTAAATATTTTAATACGAGTTGGTTCATCATAATAATTTGAAGTGGAGGATGAGATAGATCCACATGCTATGCCAGAAGCATCTCCATGATTAGAACTGCATTTCTTTGTCTTAACCCCTACCTTTCCGTGTCAGTTAAAACCACAAACACTCCATGTGCATTATCTTCCCCACCCCTTAACTTTGCAGCTATTTTGGAACTCAAGAATCTTTCCTTTTGTCTAGGATAAGAGCGAGGGATAAAGAACTGTAGAAGAGAAACCATAGTTATCAGATTCGACTCGATTGTTGATCTGGTCAACATATCAGGTCACTAGGTCATTGGTTGAGTGCAATGGAACTGTGCTTCTCATGTGCGCGACTTAGGATCAAGTCGCCACACAAGCTTATTGGGAGGATTAACTATGGATATGCCCAATATAGTAATCGAGACGGTTTGTCGGTTCAAAAATGTATGATCTTGTCCGATTTAGTAGGCTACAAGTAATAAACAATGTTCATCCTAATTATAGAAAAATACTCGCATTTTTTAACCCTCATTAATATCATACCTAGACTTGCCTGGTTTTTTGTGACAAAAACAAGAACACTCACTCGCATGCAGTTCCCCCATACCATCCCACTCCCCATCACGTGCCCCGACAGGCTAAATGTTAAACTAAACACAGAAATTGACAAAACTTAGTCTTAATTTGTTAATCTGTTGTTTGACTGTGTTATTGCAGACCAGAAGCTGTACTTTATAACTCAAACATGCATTCTCTGCACTTAATAAAGATAATATAGAGTTGATATTCTGGTTTCATATTTTAAATCAATGTTCAATGTTTCTGCATTGGTAATACAAGTTTTGGACATACTAGATGATGCCCCTTTCAAGTTGCAGATAAATTTTAATGGTATCTACTTTCATCCATAAGAACGAGACACTTCTCGGTAAAGGAAACGGGCCAAAGACAACAATACCGCACGAAAATCTCAAAATCCATCGCGTTGAAACAAAAATAATAATAATAATAATCGAAGAAAGATCTTTTTACTAAAAGTTAAACTGTTAGAAGTTACAGAAAAGGACAAGTAATAAAGAGAATTACAATCATGTTTGCTACCCTAACAAGTACTTAAGATCACTAATCTTCCTTCCCAAGGAAGCCGTTTGCTTTAAGACTATGAATTGTGTCCCTAACAGCCTCTTCAATCGGAGTGAAACTAAATCCCAGATCAATCAGTCTCTTTGCTGCATCTTCGCAACCCACCAAACCCGGTTGTGTTTCGCTTGTAAATCTGCAGTTAACGTAAAAGTTCAGTATGATACTAAGATGAAAAAGATATGTATCAAACAGAAGAAACTACGGAGTGGTAGTTTAAGAAGAAAAAAATATAGACACTGAATCTATAATGCTGGATCTTTACAATTCAACCATGAGATGATTTCACTAATGTTTTACAGGAAGTCATATATCGAACTAATTATATTTACCTAATTCCAAAAGACACAGGGATTGAGGAAAAGCTATATAAATTTATTAAGATTCAGGTCTAGTTAACAGATTGCTACAATGTATCTCGGGCTTAAATCCGTTACTTTTATTTCTCAAAAAGTACGATTTAAGGAAGTTTTGAAATACTTCGGTTCATCTTAATGAGCATGAGAGCCAATTCAGTCATTCAGATACTCTGCAGCCTAAGCAGCCATCTATAGTTTTCTTCACTAGTTTACAGCACTATTATTTTTCCATTTTTATTCCTTGGAGGTCCTACTGAAACTCATGCCGTGGGAGATAGATTTAGATAATATGTCTATGTTATTCAATGAGCGCTGGTTTGTCTGGATTTAATAACCTATGATCTACCTGTATTGCCCGGAAAAAGATCAGAGCACAATTACATCCTGATTTATGTTTAGCATTTTAACTTCGGACTGTCAGTAAGCCATCATATCACCAAATCTCGTTATTACAAACAAAAATGCTACAACACAATTGAGAGATAACATACCTGTGAATCGGAAACTCGGGGAAAAGTTCTGAAACTTTCTTTGCAAAATCAGCAAACTGATAAATGCCATTGGTGCAAAGGTATCTACCAGATGCAGCAGAGGTTTCAAATAGCAGTACTTGTACTTTCGCTACGTCTTTGACATGCACAGCCCCAAGCCAGTGGTACTCCTGTGTATCTTTCGATCCCTGCAGGAGCTGTTGCAATGCGGCACAACTTGCATTTAAGCCGGGTTGCAAAAGTTGGCCAAGGCATGTGGACGGATTGATTGCTACGACATCCAATCCATTTTTCTTTGCAAATTCCCATGCAGATTTCTCGGCCAAAGTTTTCGAAACGGGATACCATTTCTGATACAATCAATAACATGAAAAGACAACTTCAGTTAACTGGAACTCTGGTTTGCAATTACAACTCATGACTTTTGATGAACTAGCCATTTTGTGCTACATATTGAACAATAGGGACATGAGCCCAAGATCTGGTACAATGTTTAACTTTATTCGACATGGGATAATCAAGACTTTTGCAAGATGGTGGCTCGTTTTATGAATACCAATCTTTAAATGTGTTTGAATGTGGTTGAAACAAATCATTTGAGCTTAATGGGACTCCCAATCACATTTAAAGGAAAATTTCTTAAAAACATGATCATAACAAATTACTATAGGCATTCAACAGATAAGTATATAAATTATATTACATGTTTGCTAGATGAGATATAACTTATTTTCGTTAAGTCATCATACTATGGAGTAGTGCATAACAAACATGTCACAAGTGTATAACATAATTAGGAAGAGGTAGAGAGAGGGAGAGACCTGGCGGGACTTGCAATAGTCAAGGTCAGTCCATGAGGATTCATCAAATACCTTGCCCTCAGGCCAGCCCGGGTTAGGCACCATGGCGGAAATGGAGGAAGTGAGCACCACGCGCCGCACACCAAACCTCTTAGCGGCGGCGAGTATATTCATCGTGCCCTGGACAGCAGGGTCCACGAGCTCCTTCTGTGGGTCCACGGGGTCCTCCAGAGAGCAAGGAGACGCCACGTGGAAGACACCGCCTCCTGTGCAGCCCTCAATGGCTTTAGCTATTGAGTCAGCGTCCAAAAGACTGGCCTCGTGAACCACCAGTCTCACGGCGGGGTTGTTGGCACCGGGGAGGGAGAAAAGGTGAGAAGGGTCGGAGCCCTGCATTATGGAGAGGTGGATGGTGGTGTAGCCACAATCCAACAGGGTTTTCACTAACCATGATCCTATGAAGCCATTGGCTCCGGTGACACACACTGGTACTCTGACGGAGGCGTAGCTGGTGGTGATGGTTGCGTCTGCGTTTACTGTTTGTTCTGCCATTTTGAAGTCAGACGACGATTTATACAGAATTAGGAGTTGCAGAAACACATTCTAATCTGACACGGATTTGTTACTGGTAGATTTCGTTTAAAATTAGGAGTCCGGAGTCGGATCCTCCGAGGTTTATCAGCTAAACTATAGGAAATGCCATTTGTATAGATAATCAAGTTGACTTAAATTAAATTTTGCCCCCCCCATCCCACCCCCCCCCCTAATT